AGGGTTGTCCACTATAAAAACAAACCATATACAAATTGTTGTTGAGTCAAAGATTTTATATAAAAGAACCTGCCTGTATAGTCAAATTTTAAATATATGACAAATTAGTGGTAGAAATAATTTATGAATTTTTGCGTTACTTAAAAACTAGTCTTACGTCGTAAGGGGCAATTGAACAAGAAGCTAGTAGCGATCCTATTACATAATTTTGAAGAAGAAGAAAATATGTCAAAATTGTCCATCAAACCCTGCTGCCCTGTTTCCTGTTTTTTAAACAAAAATTACACTAGTGACAGCAGTCTATCAATTAAGAGTATTTGTGATAGTTATTATTAATTTCCTGATTGTAATGGATTCAACAAAATTTAAGAGGAGTTTTGTTCCACATTCCACATAGCCAATTGCATTATCTCCATAAGACTCCCGAACTGCACTATAAATTTCCATAAATAAATAGGTTTTTTATATAAACACAATAAAATCATTCATGTTGATCCTTACCTTTTATACCTCTGATTTCGCCAATATTAAAATGCTCGTCTCTTTAAAAATTCAATTCATGATCATAAAAATATCAATTTTTGGTAAAATATGCGAAGTAGCTTTCACAAATCCTGATTCACACATTCTGCTTTAAATATAAGGGAAGATATTAAATGATAATTACTAAATAATAATTTTACTTAATAATGAAATTTGAAGATTAAGGAAAATAACTCATAGACTTGAAAATATTTTATATGACAGTGTCACTGACAGACTGACACTATTGACAGTGTTGACAGAGCGTCTTCTTCCGATGTTTTTTCTTTACGCAATCATTTACACATAATTTCACTACAAGGTGCCCTTTATGACGTCACAGCCGTTTTAAAATGTTATAAAAAAATCAGTTTCAAATAATTATTTTAAAACTGTTCTGACGCATTTCTCAATCTCTAATTGTGCATACACACTAGTTAGTACGTGTAGAATTATATTATCTACTTTTTGAAATTTGGTCAACAACCCTATTGATAAATGATATAAAAAATGGGGTATTCTATTTAAAATAACGGAGAAGACGTTATTTCCGACGATACCGGAAGTACCGCACACTTGAAAATATTTCACTTAAAAAGAATGAATAGAACCCAGATAGCTATCGAAATTTCAAATTTCTATTGTAACTAGAAGTTTAAAAACTTTTCATGAACGGGTTATATGAAAAAACCTGTATATCCCTAATCAAAATTATTTAAAGTTTTGAAGAGAACAGAAAGGTTTTCATGTTCAATTATCTACTTTCTTGGGGTGAAATATTTCTGGTTAAGCAAAACTAGATTTATAAAATCAACCTGATTGATCCATTTTATTTAAAAAAGTCCTTATTGACATAGTGGGAATGTTAAGTAGCACAATTTGTATTATTTATATACAATGTGTAACAGCAATATTGCAAAAAACTTTAGATCCTCTCTAATTTAAACGCCACTGATTAGGTTTTGATCAAATTTTACATATAGGTGGTGACTGAGGGAATTGGACTGCAATAAATTTAAAATCCATATATCACGTCTAACCTTTGAAAAATTGTAATACCCTTGCTTTAAATTTTAAGCAAAAATATAGCTTTTTTGTTTATTCTGTTACACCCTGTATAAACAAAGATATTTATTGTACAGCTGTTGTTATTGAAAGAGTTTCAAAATTTCATTTGAAACATTTACAAATAAATGATTGCTTTTGTGTAGTGTCACCCGCGGGTGTTAACGGCGGTTACTACCAAGGCGGCGCACTCCCCGTCCAACAGGCACACTCCACAACACCGCACGAAGCCCCACATACGGTCACACCCAGTGCAGCTGCGCCCCCAACACCACAGCCTGCCCCACCCGTCGGACCAGTTCCCGTACCACCCCATGCTCTAGTGAGTACCACTACCATCATAAAGTAAAGGTGTCAGTAAATTTATTTTCTATTAGCTTCTCATTTTTTGCATGCCAGTCTATTTGATATTGTTCGTGCATCTTCGTAGATTTTAAAATAAGTGAAGTAAGTAGTTGTCTTTCGTTGTTAGAAAACTTTGATAACATTTAGGCTGACATGTCTGGTTTGGCAAACTTAACTAGCTGCTAAGAGAAATATTGATCTTTGTTTCGCTGACTTTCAAATTTTAGGTACTGTTGCAGGTACAGTACGGCACGGTTAGAGTGAATAAAAGACAAAACATTTTTATTTTTCGTTTTGCACAAAAATCATTTATGATAAAAAAAATGCTTGTTTGTGAAATGAAGTTTAAAAAACTTGAAAAAATAATATTAAGAAATGTTGTTTAGAATCAATTAAGTGTTAAGAAAACAAAAAATGGTTGAATGACCCAAAAAAACCCAATTTTTCGCCCGTTTTGTCGACCTCATGAATTCAATTCAAAAGTGGTCTAAATGATAGCTTATAGTGACAGTTTAATGTAGGCGAAATTTTCAAATTGAGCATACATTCAATTTTTACGATATGACAAGTTAAACTCGTTATTTGATTTATCCTCGCCAAGGTGAATCTGACATTCTCGGTGACTTCTTGTGTTATCTTAAAATTCTCAACAAATATAAGCAGTAACATTTATAACGTAAAATTTTCTGTTCTTTTCCAATCTTTCATTATACAGGGTGTCCCGAAATTCATGCAACAAAAATTGGTCATAGATTCTTAAGACAAATTTAGGGGACCCGTATTTTTTCTTTTTGCCAACTGGCCCCTTCTTTCGAAGTTACAGCCCCCTGGAATCTGCCCCTAAGAAGCCTTTTTTATATCTCAAAACCATGTTGTGCGAGAATCACTAAATTTGGTACATAGGGGTTTTATTACATGTGGAATCTCACAGTGCTACGCTTTTTGGCGAGAAACCCCCTTATGTCACTTTTTTGTGGGCCCCCTTGTCTTTGGAACCAGAAAAATTTGGTCGCAAATTTGATTTTTTTTAAAATTATTGAAAGCCATTGAATATAGAAACTTTTTTATCTCTTGATATTTTTTTTGTAAAACGCAATGCTTTTGAGGAAAATGGCGAATCACGATATGCATTCGATCACATTTTGACATTTTTCTCGAAAACATTGTGTTTTACGAAAAAAGTATAGAGACAAAAAGTTTCCAAATTTAATGGTTTTCTAGTGGAATGATAATTTTTAAGAAATTTAAAAATGCGACAAAATTTTTTTGGTTCCAAAGACAAGGGNGGTGTAGACATAACGGTTTGTCATTGTTTGTTGTAAACGAATCATTAATATTGGTGACACTAAAATCTAGGGATTTTTAGTTTGATAGTACCCGCAGTGCAATGTTGGTTGCCTAAGATCAGCAGTCACGTAGCTTGTAATCATTTAACACCACTACCGCCTATTGCGTTCTCTCCTTTATAGTGATCCATTTTATTTAAAAAAGTCTTTATTGAACATAGTGGGAATGTTAAGTAGCACAATTTGTATTATTTATATACCATGTGTAACAGCAATATTGCAAAAAACTTTAGATCCTCTCTAATTTAAACGCCACTGATTAGGTTTTGATCAAATTTTACATATAGGTGGTGACTGAGGGAATTGGACTGCAATAAATTTAAAATCCATATATCACGTCTAACCTTTGAAAAATTGTAATACCCTTGCTTTAAATTTTAAGCAAAAATATAGCTTTTTTGTTTATTCTGTTACACCCTGTATAAACAAAGATATTTATTGTACAGCTGTTGTTATTGAAAGAGTTTCAAAATTTCATTTGAAACATTTACAAATAAATGATTGCTTTTGTGTAGTGTCACCCGCGGGTGTTAACGGCGGTTACTACCAAGGCGGCGCACTCCCCGTCCAACAGGCACACTCCACAACACCGCACGAAGCCCCACATACGGTCACACCCAGTGCAGCTGCGCCCCCAACACCACAGCCTGCCCCACCCGTCGGACCAGTTCCCGTACCACCCCATGCTCTAGTGAGTACCACTACCATCATAAAGTAAAGGTGTCAGTAAATTTATTTTCTATTAGCTTCTCATTTTTTGCATGCCAGTCTATTTGATATTGTTCGTGCATCTTCGTAGATTTTAAAATAAGTGAAGTAAGTAGTTGTCTTTCGTTGTTAGAAAACTTTGATAACATTTAGGCTGACATGTCTGGTTTGGCAAACTTAACTAGCTGCTAAGAGAAATATTGATCTTTGTTTCGCTGACTTTCAAATTTTAGGTACTGTTGCAGGTACAGTACGGCACGGTTAGAGTGAATAAAAGACAAAACATTTTTATTTTTCGTTTTGCACAAAAATCATTTATGATAAAAAAAATGCTTGTTTGTGAAATGAAGTTTAAAAAACTTGAAAAAATAATATTAAGAAATGTTGTTTAGAATCAATTAAGTGTTAAGAAAACAAAAAATGGTTGAATGACCCAAAAAAACCCAATTTTTCGCCCGTTTTGTCGACCTCATGAATTCAATTCAAAAGTGGTCTAAATGATAGCTTATAGTGACAGTTTAATGTAGGCGAAATTTTCAAATTGAGCATACATTCAATTTTTACGATATGACAAGTTAAACTCGTTATTTGATTTATCCTCGCCAAGGTGAATCTGACATTCTCGGTGACTTCTTGTGTTATCTTAAAATTCTCAACAAATATAAGCAGTAACATTTATAACGTAAAATTTTCTGTTCTTTTCCAATCTTTCATTATACAGGGTGTCCCGAAATTCATGCAACAAAAATTGGTCATAGATTCTTAAGACAAATTTAGGGGACCCGTATTTTTTCTTTTTGCCAACTGGCCCCTTCTTTCGAAGTTACAGCCCCCTGGAATCTGCCCCTAAGAAGCCTTTTTTATATCTCAAAACCATGTTGTGCGAGAATCACTAAATTTGGTACATAGGGGTTTTATTACATGTGGAATCTCACAGTGCTACGCTTTTTGGCGAGAAACCCCCTTATGTCACTTTTTTGTGGGCCCCCTTGTCTTTGGAACCAGAAAAATTTGGTCGCAAATTTGATTTTTTTTAAAATTATTGAAAGCCATTGAATATAGAAACTTTTTTATCTCTTGATATTTTTTTTGTAAAACGCAATGCTTTTGAGGAAAATGGCGAATCACGATATGCATTCGATCACATTTTGACATTTTTCTCGAAAACATTGTGTTTTACGAAAAAAGTATAGAGACAAAAAGTTTCCAAATTTAATGGTTTTCTAATGGAATGATAATTTTTAAGAAATTTAAAAATGCGACAAAATTTTTTTGGTTCCAAAGACAAGGGAGCCCACGAAAAATTGTCTTAAGGGGGTTTCCCGCCAAAAACGTAGCATCATCAAATTCGACATGTCATAAAACCCCTGTGTACCAAATTTAGTGAGTGATTCTCGTACAACAGGGTTCTGAGATATAAAAAAAAAATTATTCTTAGGGGCGGACTTCATGGGGCTGTAACTCCGAAAGAGGGGGCCACTTTGCAAAAATAAAAAATACGGGTCCCTAAATGTGTCTTAAGAATCTGTGACCAAATTTTGTTGCATAAATTTTGGGACACCCTGTATTTTACCAAAAATATAGTACAAGAAAGTTATAAAAGATTTTTGTAAAAAATAATTTGCATTTTTGCTAAATATCTTTGATTTAATGATATTTCTATACTGGAAACATGGCAAATCTTGATGGATTTATATGTCCACTTAAAATATATAGCAAACACTTAAAGAAGTCACTCGGTTTGGCGAGCAATTGGTTGTTTTGGCGAATTCGGGTGCTGCTGAACCGACAGAAGAAACTTCTCTTAAGAAAATAGTTGCGTATTATTTTACATGATCTGAGTGATGGAAATGTGAACTCATTGCTTGCAAAAAGCGTAGTCCCTCACAACATGATGTTTTCTTAAAAAATATCTAATCTTTTTTTTTTTTCTTTCATCATTATTAATCTTACATCCAAATTGTCCTAGTTCAAAGTCCTTCGGATACAAGGTTTAGAGTATCTATCGAAAATTTGTAAGCCAGTTTAAAAATACCGATTAATTGAATATTTTCAGCAAAAATACTGATTTTTTTGTAAAATCAGCAGTACGTCATTAAAACAAAGTGTTTGGTAAAATCTAATGGTAGATTCATAAATAACGAAAGATTTTACATAGGAAATGATACACTTCGCATATTTGAGAATTTTGAACACAATGAACGAGTGTGCCGAGAATGTTGGATTCATCTTGGCGTGAACAAGCCAACTAACAGGTTCGACTTGTCATATCTCCAAAACAAAAACTATGTTTAACTTAAAATTTTGCCTACTCTAAAGTATCACCACAAGCTATTATTTAGACCACTTTTGAATCGAATTCGTGAGGTTGACGAAACAGGCGAAATTTTGGGTCAATCTTTAATCATCGAAATGTGGAAATCGCATTTTTAATTCATTTAACAAGTACAACAAAAATAGTTGAAACGTTTTTCATTTTCATCAGTTTTTTGTCATTTTCGTGATTTCCTTAAAAACTAGGGATGGGCAAAAATAACCGGTTAAATGAATAACCGATTATTGTGTGTCGCTTAACCGGTCAAAAACCGGTTATTTCCCGACTTCGGTTTNTTCGGATACAAGGTTTAGAGTATCTATCGAAAATTTGTAAGCCAGTTTAAAAATACCGATTAATTGAATATTTTCAGCAAAAATACTGATTTTTTTGTAAAATCAGCAGTACGTCATTAAAACAGTGTTTGGTAAAATCTAATGGTAGATTCATAAATAACGAAAGATTTTACATAGGAAATGATACACTTTGCATATTTGAGAATTTTGAACACAATGAACGAGTGTGCCGAGAATGTTGGATTCATCTTGGCGTGAACAAGCCAACTAACAGGTTCGACTTATCATATCTCCAAAACAAAAACTATGCTTA